AATTATTATAAAATTTGTGTGCGCCTAACTTTTGTGCCAGTTACCAGTACGCCCATGGCAAAAAGTTAGTCTAGAGCCCTGATAGTATATAAAACCCCATTCAGTATTGTTCATGCCAACCTTCCAGTAGAACAGGCTGTGTACTGCTCTGCTAAAGTTTCTGACAACTTTTAGCCCAGCTGTCCAAAGCAGGGAAAAAAAGAGTAGAAAAAAATCTCACTTCAGAGTTTCCAGTGTACAATGTGGAGTTTTCAGTTCTTCCGACAAAAGCTTAACTCCTCTATCCTTCAAGTCATTGTTACTCAAGTCCAGATCTCTCAGATGAGAGGACTGGTAGCTGAGAACTGAGGACAGAGTTTCACAACTTCTTTCTGAGAGTTTGCAGCAATTCAGTCTGAAAAACAATCAAATGAAATCAAATGCTATACTCAACCAAGACAACAAAAAAATATGTTGGTGTGCAATATTATTCAATTACAATAATGAAATAAATCATAATTAATGTATTTTATAAAAAAAAGAATTCAAACATGGAATGTTGGTAAAAATAATATTTGTGTGTGAGGGTAAACAGGTGAGGAGCTAGAGTCAGTGGTAATACCTCTGCACGGGCATAAAATACTGCTGATCCTTTTCCTAATTCTAGTGTCAGGTTTTTCATAAATTTCAAATTTATACTTATTTATACTGAAATAAGTCATTTTACCTCCTTTCACTTTCAGTTTATCCTTCCTTGGAAAGATTGCTTTATTTTGATTGGCCAGTTTGTGAGGTAGAGGTTGTGAAAATTAACTTTAAAGCTACTATAAACACAATTTCTTGCTGATCACTTTAAACATAATCTCAAAAAACATGACAGCAGGACATCACTGTGTGGTAAATATTACACGCAAAATCTAGTTTCGAATAGTCTATCAAACAGTGGCCATACAAAACAGAGTGGCTATTAAAAGGTGTTGCTTATGGCAACGTCCCAGTAAAATATCCTTTCTTACTACTCTGCTGCAGTTTCAAACAACTTTTGGCCCAGCTATCTCAACGGGGAAAAAAATTACCTCAGAGTTTCCAGTGTACAATGTGGATTTGTCAGACCTGAGAACAGAAGCTTTACTCCTTGATCCTTCAGGTCATTGTTCTTCAAGTCCAGCTCTCTCAGACTAGAGGACTGGGAGCTGAGAACTGAAGACAGAGCCTCACAGCTTCTCTTTGAGAGGTTACAGCCACTCAGTCTAAAAAACAATTTGTACTCTCATGAAAACACTTTGCATGTTGAACATATAATATAATATATAAATATATTAAATATAATATAGTGCAATTTAAAAAAAAAAAAACCAACAACAGAATGTGCATCAAAATAAACTATTTCCAACAGTGCAATATGAGTTCTAAGCATCCCAGAATTTATACAGAAAGGCACGAGCTCAAACATCAATTTTAAACACACCAGCATATCTTTGTAAATGCCCTATAGGAAAAAAAAATTTCTCTGAAAACTATGTCACCTCCAGTTTCGGGCAGGTAATGGCGGACATCAGATAGATCATGCTGATGTTTATTTCAACACAGGAGTGCTATAAACAGCTGATCAGATTGGCAAAGCATGTTTCTGGAATACTATGTTTTTGTTTCTGCAAATGCTTTTTATGCAATATTTGTAAAGCAATATGCAGAAAGAAACTGTGACCTAGAAGAAGCTGAATGTGAGTTGTACTCAGTCACTCATTCATATGAAAAAAAAATTGCACTAGCTTGGATGTAATTCTACCAGGCTTTAAAAATAGTTACCTGAACGGTAGCATGCTCGCTCCGACAGACCACAAAGGGTTAAAAAAGAATTAATATGTGGAATTTGCATAGTAAAAACAATTGTACATTTATGTAATTAGAAGCCTATGAGAAGCTGTTAGTGGTTATACCTCCATACCTGTTGGCAGAGGCATAAAGTACTATGGGTCACTTTCCTAATTTTAATGGCTTTGATTAAATACATTTCAAATTAATCCCTATTTTTTACATTCTGAACCATGTATGTAGTCCCCCATTTCTGCATCTGAAATAAGTCTTCTTACTTCCTTTCACTTTCAGTTTATCTTTCCTCAGAAAGACTACTTTATTTTTCATTGGCCAGTTTCAGGAACCATGCTGCTCCACCTCCTCTGTCTTCTGATGTCAAGGTTGTGAAAACAAACTATGTTACTATAAACATAATTTCTGCCTTATGACTTGGAACATAATCTCAACAAAGATTAAAGCAGGACATCACTATCTGTTGAATATTACACTCATAGTCTGCTTGATTTGAAACAGTCTTTCAAACAGTGACCATGTAAAACAGAGTAGCTATAAAAAGGTGTTGTTTATGGTAACTACCCAGTAAAACATTCTTTGTACTCTTCTGAGACCTTTAGCACAGCTGTCCAACGGGGATGGGGGGATTACCTCAGAGTTTCCAGTGTACAGTGTGTAGTATTCAGTCCTGAAGATAGATGATTAACTCCTGGACCCTCCAGGTCATTGTTACTCAGGTCCAGCTCTCTGAGACTAGAACAATTGGAGCTGAGAACTGAGGACAGAGATTCAAAGCTTCTCTTTGAGAGGTTACAGTCACTCAGTCTGAAAAATAATTTACACTCACATGAAATCACTTTCTGTGTTGAAGGAAGACAGGCAAAAGAAAAATGCTGGTTTACAATAGTATTCATTTAAAATAAACAAATTACAATTAAATTCATTTTAAACAGAATTTAAATGTGGAATTTTCTTTGGAAAAATAATTATACCTCTTAATGTAAATGGAAACCTGTGAAGAAGAAAATTAGTTGTACTACCTCTGTACCTGCTGACACAGGCGTAAAGTACTGTTGGTCACTTTCCATATTCTAATGTCTGTGATTACGTACAGTTCAAATAATCCCTTTCTGGACCTTGTTTGTAGGCCCTTCATTCTACATCAGAAATAAGTAATTTCACCTCTTTTCCCCTTCAGTTTATCCTTTCCCAGAAAGATAACTTTATTTTGAAACATTAAAGCTTCACTGCGTCATTTCCTCTGGCTTCTAATGTAGAACTTGTGAAAAAAAAACCTGTAAACCTGCTATAAACTATAAATTGCTAACTTCTCAGATTACTTTTTTGTGTGTTTCTTAAATATTTTTTTTAGCTAAGGATACTGAATTCAGATTTCCTGCTACACAGTTTGTTTGTTTTTTTTATTCCTGCTTTTTTGTTAAGTAGAATCAACATTTTAACCCTGGAGAACCCATGGGGTCAGAGCTGATCCCATTGGTTTTCTGACCCCATGGGTTCTCCAGGGTTAAGCATGACGATATCACCACGATTTACTTACAGAGCTTTGCTGGAGGCTTTGACCACTGGCAGCAGCCTCAGAAGAGCCTCCTCTGAAGCAGAGTATTTCTTCAGGTCAAACACAGCCAGATCTTTTTCTGATGACAGTAACATGAAGACCAGAGCTGACCACTGAGCAGGAGACAGCTTATCTGTGGAGAGCCTTCCTGATCTCAGGGACAGGTGGATCCCCTCCATTAGAGAATGATCATTCAGTTCATTTAGACAGTGGAGTAGATTGATGCTCTTCTCTGCAGAAAGATTCTCATTGAGCTTCTTCTGGATGTACTGGACTGTTTCCTGATTGGTCTGAGAACTTTTTCCTGTCTGTATCAGCAGGCCTCGAAGGAGAGTCTGATTGGTCTGCAGTGAAAGACCCAGGAGAAAGCGGAGGAACAAGTCTAAGTGTCCATTTGGACTCTGTAAGGCCTTGTCCACAGCGCTCTGGTGGAGAGATGGTTTAAACCACCAGGACATTGCTTCTTGTTCTTGCAGCAGATTGAGTCCAGAGTTGATGAAGGTCAGATGGACATGAAGAGCAGCCAGAAACTCCTGAACACTCAGATGGATGAAGCAGAACACCTTGTCCTGGTACAGTCCTCTCTCCTCTTTAAAGATCTGTGTGAACACTCCTGAGTACACTGAGGCGGCTTTGATATTGATGCCACACTCTGTCAGCTCTGATTCATAGAAGATCAGGTTTCCTTTCTGCAGCTGATCAAAAGCAAGTTTTCCCAGAGACTCAATCATCCTCCTGCTCTCTGGACTCCAGTGTGGATCTGTCTTAGCTCCTCCATCATACTTGACCTTCTTCACTTCGCTGGCCTGAACAACCAGGAAGTGGATGTACATGTCAGTCAGGGTCTTGGGGAGCTCTCCTCCGTCTCTGGTTTTCAACACATCCTCCAGAACTGTTGCAGTGATCCAGCAGAAGACTGGGATGTGGCACATGATGTGGAGGCTTCGTGATGTCTTGATGTGGGAGATGATCTTGCTGGCCTGCTCCTCATCTGTGAATCTCTTCCTGAAATACTCCTCCTTCTGTGGGTCAGTGAACCCTCTGATCTCTGTCTCAATATCAACACACCAAGGAGGAATTTGATTGGCTGCTGCAGGTCGTGTTGTTATCCAGACGTGAGCAGAGGGAAGCAGGTACCCCCTGATGAGGTTTATCACCAGGACATACACTGAGGTGGACTTTCTAGGGTCAGTTAGGATTGTAGTTTTGTGGAAATCCAGCGGAAGTCGACACTCATCCAGACCATCAAAGATGAACAGAACCTGGAAGTCTTCAAAGCTGCAGATTCCTGCTTCTCTGGTTCCAGTAAAGAAGTGATGAACAAGTTCCACCAAGCTGAACTTTTCCTCTTTCAGCACATTCAGCTCTCTGAAAGTGAATGGAAATATGAACTGGATGTCCTGGTTGGCTTTGTCTTCAGCCCAGTCGAGGGTGTATTTCTGCGTTAAGACTGTTTTCCCAATGCCAGCCACTCCCTTTGTCAGCATTGTTCTGATTGGTTGATCTCTTCCAGGTAAAGGTTTAAAGATGTCTTCTTGTCTGATTATTTTTTCTGGTCTGTGTGGTTTCCTGGATGATGCTTCAATCTGCCTGACCTCATGTTCATCATTGACCTCTGCAGTCCCTCCCTCTGTGATGTAGAGCTCTGTGTAGATCTGATTCAGAAGGGTTGGGTTTCCTGCTTTAGCAATCCCCTCAAACACACACTGGAACTTCTTCTTCAGTGCAGATTTAAGCTTGCGTTGACAAACTGCATGAAATTTTTATGCAAAAAAGAATGCAGAACATTATGTTTCGCAAACATCTCCCCAAAATATGGATATTTGGCTACATGTTGGTCCATCTCTTAAGACAATAGGATTTTTTTATAGACATCCTCTTACTGTAATACAGACGGTCAGCCAGCTCCTCCTGCTTCATTCTCCTCAGGAAGTACACTGTGATCTTTACAAATGCTTCTCTGCTGCTCCTCTGCTCTTCATCTTCACTCTCCAATAGCTCCCCAACCTCTCTCTGACTGTCTTCTGGGTAATTTGAACTCATAAACTTTTGGATCTTCTTCAGCTCATTCTTCACAAAAGTGATGATGTTGTCCTCCAGGAGCTGGAACAGAATACTTTAATACAGAATACTCAGACTGAAATGACAGAGCCAAACATCAGATCTATGTTGGACACACTGACAATCCACTGGTCTACAATGAGTAGCATGGAGATGACTGTGAACAGAATAGATGTAAAAGTAGTTGTTGTACATGTACAGACCATAAATATGGAGTCCAGTTGTGTTTGATGCTGCTGGACAGACTGACCACTGGGAACCTCTGAGCTCTCCTGGTCCACTCTGTGGAGGAACAATGAAGAATTAGTTCAAGAACAGAATTAAAGATCCAAAATTATTAAAAGATGGGTTATATTGAGTTAGTTGTGACACTGGCACAGAGGACACCCAGTTGTTGGGGCCGCAAAGATGACAGGAAATTATTTTCCAGGTGACACACTTTAACTCCATGGCAGACTGGCAAGACCCTGGAGCAAATAATTGGCCCGATTTTATTGGTCTGCCATCTACGCTGATAAGTGTGCCCTTGGAGTGCATCCTGTCTGGAATCTGTCTGGCCAACTTGTTAACTTTGGGATGCCATGTTAAGATGCCAATGCCTGGATCACCCAGTGGTATCTGGCTTTATAGTAGTTTAAATTCAAGGTGGTCCATAGGCCAGGGAGACAGATGGCTGTGCCTGATTTCCTCTCCAGCTCAGGGGAGTGTTTAGATTATATTAGATTAAACTTTATTAATCCCTCAGATGGGTTCCTCCGGGGAATTCAGTTTCCACACAGCATGGACAGAAGTTGCATGTTACAGAGTTGGGATACCAAAAAAAGGGGAATAAGAGTAAGGCTATGAGCATAAATATACCATATGTACACATATACACATAAATAAATACAGAATATATAATAGAGATAAATAGGAACACCAGTGGATTGCACATTTGAGTGAGTCTATTGCACAGTCAAATATAAAAAAAATTGCAAATATTGCACAGTTAAAGAAAGCACTACTGTTCAGTTGTTCCCGCCCTCCTTTGTCCCCCTGTTTCTTCTCCCTCTCCCCTCCAACGAGGAGTTAACGTTTTAAGACCTACCATAGAACCAAGTCTGCCAAAGCTTATCTTTATTTTTTTACATGCTGTAGTGCCATTTTTGGGAGCATTTCAAGTTCGGCCAGGTAATGGCGGACATGCGATTGTTCACGCTGATGTCTATTCCAACCTAGGAAGTGTTGCGAACAGGTGATCGGATCGGCAAAGCGTGATTCTGGAATATTATATTTTTGTTGCTGCAAGTGCTTTTTATGCAATTTTTGCAAAGCTATATCTGGAAGGACACTGTGACCTAGGACAAGCTAATGGCATAAGATGTAAGTACAACTCCTTTGGTTTCAGATGCAAAAAAAGTTGTTGCTCTAGCTTACGTGGTTCTGGTTCTACAGAGATTTAAAAATAGTTACGCAACGCAGAGCATGCCCACTCCGTCCGGTTTTAAAGGGTCAAACAGTTTGCTGGCGTGTGGGACAAAATAATTTTTAAGTCTGTTGGTTCTTGACTTTGGGAAAAGCAACCTGTCACTGAACAGACTC